ATTAGATAGATTCATGGAAAATACAATAGGCATGCAAGTTATTAAAGGTAAAGACCAGTATTGGAAACGCCCCAATTTCAAAAAATGAAATGGAAGCTCTCATTACCAATCATGTGAAAGAATATGTTTTGACTAATACATGATGATACAAAATTTGCCGGGAAACCGCCTACTAATTCATATATTTGGTAAATTTGTTTCTCTCATGGTCTGTGAGAGATATAGGGTAGTCCCATATACATCTTTCTGTGTATAGTGCTTGTATTAAACTTTACGAAGAATGTGCCAAATTTCTTATCATTTTGATGATTCCAGAACCTTGCAGATGCTAGATGCTAGATGATCAACCTTTTCTGATCGATTCCACAACGTTTCTTTCACAATGCAATCGCATGACCATAACTGGTCTTTACCTTCAACTGAATAGTTGATCGAATGTTGAAATATAGCACTGTTGTTTGTCTCATGCTCAGTTACATCTCTCCCAGGTGATCTTAAATGGTAAGATGATATTAAACCTCAAAATAAAAGCTTGTTGACAACTTTTTGGTGAACATTTGGATCAATGAATGTGACTCAGGTGACTGGTTACACATACATGTAGGTCAGTCTGAATTATGTTCTTCAAAAATCTCAAAATGTCAAAATGGCTCTAGGGAAGAATTCTATGAGACTTCTCCATGGAAGATCCCACTTTTGCAAGAAAATCTATTTTTCAAAAGAGCTCCAGTGAACACAATGTAAAACTCGTTTGTATGAAAGGTAGCGCTTGATAGATTTTCAGTAAACGAGTCATAATAACTCATATATCCACCGACATCCATAGGTCACACAAGGTATTAGAAGGCTGAATGAATTATCAATTCGCAGTATTCAGCCTAGATTAGTCACTGGATTATTGTGCAATGTACAATGGTTTGGGTTTAGGAAGGTTCCAAAGTAATCCCGGGTGACAGGACGGAAATAGCACAAAGTATATATATCATTGTAGTGCTGCTTTCAGTTTCAGGTCAAACTGTGATCATAAATAGCAACTACAGTGTAAGCCCATTTAATCATTTGTAGAACATTTCGCTATTCGTTGCACTGGATAATCTTACTGCGAACTACAATGTACATGTACATTATACCTGATGCATCTACATGTAGTCAAGCTCATTGAACAGAAACAGAGCTACGATCTGGAAGTTTATTTTGCTTTTTAATTTTCAGTGAATGTACAGTCAAACTTGTCTACTAAGACTTTCCAAGGTAAACCGAAAAATGGAGCTTTTCAGACAGATAAGACATTTCTTTTTAAAGGGAAACATACAAGTATGTACATTACATGCAGGAGACCACTACTATTGAACTAATGAGAAATAGAGAGGTGACAACTTAGATAGGTTTGACTGTACTCATCACTCTGTGTAAATTCTAAAGGATTCTGCACAAAAACAATTCATCATTATTTGATTTTTAATTTGTTATACTTAAAATCCTCTTCCCCAACACAAAAAAAGAGAAGAAACAGAAACTTGTAGTTCAATCACGTAAATGTCAAGAGCCTTTTGCGTCCAGACAATGGCCCCAGTTCGGTTGAAGACCCCTTGACCCCTCCCTCCCTAGGCCTGTCCTCATCAGCTCGAGATTACCAAATAGCCCGCTATTTATGATTTGGGAAATAATCCCAAAGTTACAAATCGCGTCTTCATCAGCTCGAGATTTGGCCTTGAAACTCGAGCTCAAGATATTTTGCTCAGCGTTAGTGCGAGTCTTCGGGCTGGTGAAGCTCTTCGGACAAAAAGCGTGATATTTTGCAAACTATCGCAAGATATCTTGGGATGATTATCTCGACCAAATATCCCGCTAATTGCAACCTCGGGCTGATGAAGACGCAAATTAACTGGATAATTTGCGATTGGGATAGTTCAAATAGCGGGATAATTTGGCAAACTCGAACTGATGAGGACAGGCCTCCTGTGTGCAGATCCGGAAATTCAATGTTTATGCATAACGAATGTGGCTTTTTAGGGAGGAAGCAGATAGCCTTGTTTACACTCGCAGTCTCTGACAGGTAGGAGGCGAGAACCCTGTTTACACACACGCCAGGATCGATTCTGGAGATAACTGGTAAACCTCATCCTGCACCCACGCTTCCTCCTGCCTTCCCCTGAAAGGTGCATCCCAGAGTGCCCAAACATCACTTTAAGTTATGCTCGACTGTCACTTTCAGTGAAACCACTGTCAAAGCTCTGTTAAAGGGACACCCGAGCATTATGGACGTAGAACTGTATGCACCGTGCCTCATCGATTATGATTGTGGTCCATGCATTCTAGCCTGAATCCTGAATAAATCAAATTCTTAAATCCTCTCGCAATGTATTCAAAGAATAAATATATTAATTGAACTTCAACAGTTTATGGACAATTTCATGATCAGGAGCACTTTTCAATGTAATCTGTGAAAACTGAATTTGGTAAACAAAATAATGAGGGGAAGTTTGGTATCTGCAAATAGGCAAAATAGAAAAGTAAATCTCTTGGCCTACAGGTAATTTAATGTACATTAGTCCTTGTCATACTGACTAAAAGAATATGGATGTGCATGTACATGTAGCCTACTACACAGTGGCTACATTATTGCGTTTTCTGATGTGGATAATGAATGCTTTGCTGTATCAAATTACTACTACATGTATTCATGTATGATGTAGGCCAACATATCCATGTATACATGTAGGGCCTGCAAAATTAAACATTAAGGCCCGAATTCACAAAGGAGGTTTGTCGACAAACCTTGGTTTTCGTACGTCATATGACGCGTTTTATGCGTTTTTTACAAACCTGGTTTGTAAAGAACAAAAGGAGGTTTGGCGAAACAAAAGGAGGTTTGAGCTCAAACCTTGCTTTGTGAATTCGGGCCTAAGGGTTTTCACAAATGTAATTACACTCAATTTGATTGAGAAAGAAGAAAAAACCTAATTTGGTCTAGAAGCCAAGCTTATCCCTTGAACTTGAAGCCAGTGGGCCTTTCATTTCCATGAATAAGTTGACACGTCTTAAAGACATTGTCTGCTATCTTTACCCACACAGTATTAAACGATTGGCAGGAGTTATAACTTCTGAAATGCATTTAAATTATTAAAGATAAGCTTTGTTTCGACAACTTAGCTTCTTCTGGACTAGCTTGGTGACAGATACTTCAATCAGCCTTTCCAAATAATTGAATTTCTGTCATTAATCAAGATTTTACATTTATTGAGTGTTGCTGGGTCAGGTATACCTTAGACAAGCTTCTGAGGCTATGAGGAGTAACATTTATCAAGAAAGCATGCTTCTCATTGAAGAGAAATATGTATTTATTTTGAGCTACCGGTAATGTGAATTGCAAATAAAACTTTTTTTTTTAAAAGAAATATACAATATGTACAGTAAAGCAAGCTTAAACATAATGAAAATAGGCTAACAAAGAAAAAAAAAACAATTCCACAGTAGTACACTTTACATGTAGGAAGTAAATCAATGTGTAGCCTAATTCAGCTCTCACAGCACAGAAAAAGAAATCCTGACATTTCTACCAATTGTGACTTTTACAAAGCTACTATCATGAACAATCATCGCTTCCAGATTTAGGTTTTCAAATTAAATTGCCTATGAAGTTCACACATCTATCAAAATTGTGATTCTGAATCACAAGATATTGCTCCTAAATTGGTGTCCTTACCGCGGTAGCTCTCCATATATAGGGTGAAGGATCTTTAAATAACAACAAAGTAAAAAACAAATAACAGGAAGTTATTTTACTCATTTCTGGTCATGATTATCAGAATTTCCTGATAGATATCGAATTTCCTGTGCTATATTGGTGAATTTTTGTCATAACTATCAGAAGAATATTTTGAAGTTGTTTTTCTCTGAAATGAAAGACAACAAAAATTCTAAGACTAGTAAAATAAAAATTAAGAGCCAAATTTATTTCAGAAATTGATAATAGAAAATTCTGACATTACTCTCCTCGTTCAGTTGCTTGTGGTTTATATACAGTCTATATACATGAAGCCTAGTTAAAAAATATTGAATGGGGGGGGCAGACTTAAGAGATGGGGCACCCATGTGTCCTACATGTAGGTGCCTGTTAGTGTCAGGCCCTGACACATCTCAAACAAACAGTACTGCTGTAAACTATTTCCAATTGAAGAAAAAAAAACGTGTTAATATTTTTGACATTAGCATCAAGAAGAAGGCTATCGCTATCAGATTAGGGTGAAGTGCAAATTATCCAAGAATACCTCCATAATTCTTGCATTCAGTTCGGGTCAGCGAGACACTAGGTCGAGTCAGCCTACAATAAATATTGACATAGCAATATCATAACCATGTCTAGAGTAAGTAAACATATTTTTGTCATCTTGTTCATTTACTTTGCACTTTGTACATCCTGTTCTTGGCAATTTTCTGGGCTGACGAATGATTTTATAATGACATTTTCAGTCTGTCATAACACTTCCAGGAACTTGTGTCTGCGGATTTGCACTTACATGTACACGTAACCTCTTTAATACATTTTGCCATGTTTCCCTGACTCATATGTTTAATGAGAAACGCGCATTCCAATTTCATTCTAGAGAAAAATGCCACATATTTTTCTCGCTACTCTGCCATGAAAAAAAAAACATTTATCAATTTGTTTGACTGATATCATTCCTTTGCACTGTTAAAATGTTCAAAGTCTACTTGGTAAATTTTTGTGAGGAGCTCATTTTTCGTTATTACCAGAAACTCAAACTCGCTTTTTCACATACATGCCCCCTCTTTGGACTTGTAGCCTGGAAGGTGTATGGGGTTCGACATCCAAAAAGATGCCCAAATCTTTTTAATCTCCATTATTACTGTACAAGGACAGTTTTTTGACAACCTAGTTTTCAATTAGGACACTGCATTTAGATAGCCCTTGCTATGAGCCTGTCCCTATCCCCCCCCCCCCCCTTCACCACTCAATTATTTGTTTCAAAGCTTACCATTGCGGCTGACATCCAGCTCCAAGAGATTCATGAAATTGCCAATCTCCGCTGGCAGTCTCTCAAGTTCATTGTCGCTGAGTCCAAGGATGCGAAGATTGGTCAAGCGGAAAAAATGCTGCAAGATAAACACAAAGAGAGAATCTAATTGAATTGACTTGACTAGGTTATTTTGCATTTTAATAGCATAATAAAAAATTCTTGAATTGAGACACTTTTGCCATCACATGAATTTATAAGTAAAGATACACCAAATAAAGGACCAAATACTTGCCAATTCTAGGTATGCCTATGGTACATTGAAGAATGAATGTGCGAAAACAAGGAGAGAAATCTTGTCATCATCATCTAATTTCTAATATTACTTGGCCGTTATTAAACCCGTTATCATTCTTAGGTAGTATTTTTCTCTTTAATGATAATGTCTTCAGTCATTCACATCAAGACGCATGATCATCAGAAATACGAGCCCCATGCTCACCACCTGGCGCCCTCCTGGTAAATCTCATCACTGCCGAGCCACTTCACTTATCAACCATATCAACTCTCACGCCTCAACGGGCCGCAATACCCTTCCATCTTTCTCTCTTTCATAATCGCCCAAATTTAATATCAACCGTATTCCGATCTCCCCTGAAATTGCGCCTTTGCGAAATGCAGAAGCGTAAAGTAGCCTGTAGAACCATCACATGGGATTCTTAACTTTCCCATGTAGTATGTTGATGCAGTGCAGGTTTTGACGCTTCTGAAGTTTGGGTAATGAACCTACTTTTTCAAGAGAACTGGCTCTAAAGTAATTTGGGTGTACAATGATAAGGAATTTGGAAACAATCTCACTGAAAAAAGACTTGCTAGAAATTAGATTCCCAGAAGAAAAAAACATACTTGTACAGTATACGAGGCTGTCTATCAGTATTAGGGCTTGACAAGTTGGCACCGACGGGGCACATAACATGTACATTGTATCTCTACATGTACTGAGAGCCCTCAATTATAATTCTGGACCCTACAACAACAACAAAAAATTGAACCAAGGGCCATACTCACATACATGTACAAGTCTACAGGGCATAAAAACAACGAAATTATGTGCATTGTATACCCCTTTGAAGGGGTTTTAGTGTTTTCATATCTCAAGAACGAAAAGTGGACTGGTTGAATTAGGGCTTTTGTTGAATGCTTTTCGATGTAATCTTCAATATGTCAGTCTCAAGAAACATAAATTGGGCAAATCAACTTTTCACAAATATTGTATACTTATAAAATTACAAAACTTGGTAAGGGTATGAATAACTTAATTGTTGACTGTGCATGTACAAAAAATAAAAATTGCAGTCCATCCTCATGAAAAAGGAGTTTAATAATAATTAGTATCGAGTCTTATGCACTAATGCACACAAACATGTATGAGACCATACTATTAGAATGCTTGACAAGCAGTTGAGACACCAAGTTACAAATGCATTACATGATTACATACACGTACATGTTTATGTTTTACCTTGGGAATTTCCTGTATTTGTTTGCTGAATATAGAATATATACATGTAAAATGTAATCTTTAAAAGATGTACCGGTAGATAGATTCCAAGGGAAACAAAAAAAATGTGTTCTTTGTAAATTGTAGACAGGTGGTCACTATAGCAGGTTTGATTACCTTCAGGCTTCATGCTAATTTGTAAGTACTAGGCGCGTCGTCATCAGCTCGAGATTGCCAAATAGCCCGCTATTTGTGTTTCGGGAAATAATCCAGAAGTTACAAATCGCGTCTTCATCAGCTCGAGATTCGACCTCGAAACTTGAAACTCGACCTTGAGAAATTCAAATTAGCTTGAGATATTTTGCTCAGCGTTAGCGCATAGTGCGAGTCTTCAGTCTGGTGAAGACGCACCGGACAAATAGCTGGATATTTTGCCAAATAATGGGATATTTTGCAAACTATCCCTAGATATCTTGGGATGACAATCCCGACCAAATATCCCGCTAATTGCTACTTTGGTCTGATGAAGACGCAAATTAGCTGGATAGTTTGCGATTAGGATAGTTCAAATAGGTGGATATTTGGCAATCTCGAGATAGTGATGACAGGTCTACTGCACTTGAAATAAAGTGGTGACCTTGATGCCATGCAAAATGTAATTATTTAGAAAGCCTGAAGCCTGAATTTCAGACATTCATTTACAATTTCACATACAGCCTGCATTTTTGTATATTTATAAAGTTGAAGGCGGACATCTCTTTTCAAAATTTCCATATTGCAACAGATTGTCCATCCTTTGCAGTTTCATTGCATTTGAAAATTTCCTTTCAATTTATCATATGACTATGATAATATGCATGGATACATACATGTACCAACTCAATGATTTACTAACACATCCAAATTAAATGCATACATATGTACATGTACACTGTACAAGTACATTTCAAACAAAAGTGATTTCCCAAGCATTTCCAACATAGCAGCATGTATGCAGACAAGAGTCTAAGTACCATAGTTCATTCATTAATAACGGTTAACTGGTCATTTACATGTAGTTCCCCAGGAAAGGAACATCCATAAATTTGGATGTATTAGAAAACCAGTCTTTTTGATCTAATGCATTCTGTACATGAACATGTAAATAAAAATTACAAATATCTGGGTTTTTTAAGTTGTTACAGCTTATGGTACAGCTTGAATTTCTATGCATGGACACTACTATAGGATTTATTACTCTGATCGCGATTTTCTACCGACGTACGTACAGGAATAGCAATTAGCATTGTAAACACCCAAGTTGAGTTCAGAAATGACATTTCTAAATTCCTTCCCCATTCCTGAGTATTGTTTGGGGTCGCCAACATGGAACAGTGCACATCAATGATTCAAAAGAAAGGAAATAGCATAGACATAACCGGTGTCAAGGGTCATTAGCTCATCAAAGCAATTGCAACATTTGTAAGTTAGTCTTTAAATACAGCTTTTATTCCTGATTTCATCCTGATGTACATGTGTACCGGTATGTTTAAAAAGTGCCTTCAGTAATGCTACATATACATTATCTTAAATTTTCACATGATTGGATAGCAGAGGCTTCTTTTTGTGGTCTGGTTCCAACCACAAATTCTCATTGGTCTTGTGCTGATAGTACAAGCAGTCCAACAAACGACAAGCCTACAATGTATGCTTTCTAGGCCTCAAGTGGAGCCTACATGTAAATGTAGTACATGCGTACAATCATCAGCCTGAAAGTTTAACTTGTGCCGTTACAATGACTGTAGACTATTTTTTCAATTTTCCTTTATACAGTATGCAATTCCACAATTTCCCACAAGTATGTAGTGATGTTTTACTCTTTATTGCTTCAAGTACATTTCTTATACCTTCTATTCGCTCATTTTCAGATTTTTGATATTCATAAAATTCAAATTGCGATCCTGATGTATTACGTGAAGCATAATTTAGCACCTCTTAATATAATAAATTTATTTCAGTATAATAATGATACTATCAATATAATACATGTTCCCAATCTAAATTCCATTTTCCATTAGCACTAAATCAATCAACTCTTATTGCATTTAAATCTGCTGGTCCTCGAATATATGGAATTCCCTCCCTTCTGATATAATCTCCAGCACTATGTTACTTCATATAAAACCAAACTCAAACGTTCAAAAATAACTACCTATGCCAAATAAACATGTAATTTCATCTCTCCTCCCTACGTTTTCTTATTTCACCTTTTCCTATTTCCCATTAACTTTATGTGTTTCGATGGGTTTTTTTTTAACTAAGTTTGTTTTGCATCTCATGTTTATTCTATATATTTCTTTATGTATTGGGGGCCCCATTTTAAATCAAGCCTTGGCTTTAAGAGGCACCCTGACTATTTACGCTGTATCAGTAATGTTCACACACGCATGATTTGTATACCGTTTTTTATTTTAAATGGTTTAATAAAACGAATTGAATTGAATCAAATGTACAGGGTGTACATGTACATGTAATTTTATACCATACATTTGTAAACAACCCCTCATAGGCTCATACCAATAAGGGAAATCCTACTCATCAGATAGAAGATCAGGACACACGACACAGATTTCAGCTGTAGCTCCACCATCGATACACCATCGCCAGACAATTTTTAATTGAATGTACACCTACATTTGTACATGTATTTCGACATCCAGGCCCGTGCCTCCCGAGAGAGAAAACAGGTTGCTTTTATCGAAGAAGTGGGGTACCAGGTAGCGCTGCAATTGCAGTTTTGATTTTAAATGGTTTAATAAAACAAATTGAATTGAATCAAATGTACAGGACTACATGGTGTACATGTACATGTAATTTTATACCATATATTTGTAGACAACCCCTCATACCAATGAGGGAAATCCTTCTCATCGGATAGAAGATGAGGACACACGACACAGATTTCAGCGGTAGACCCACCATCGATACACCATCGCCAGACAAATTTTAATTGAATGTACACCTACATTTGTACATGTATTTCGACATCCAGGCCCGTGCCTCCCGAGAGAGAAAACAGGTTGCTTTTTCTCGAAACAGTGGGGTACCAGGTTGCGCTGCAATTGCAACGACAGCCGAAAGGCAAGTGTACAAACTGATGAGGACAAGCTATGATTTCCCTTGGATCGCAACCAATAGGGATGGGGTGTCAGGCAAACCTGAAACTCCAATCAAATAATGTTCCGAGGGTACGTTGCGAACCATGGGGATCATGCATGCATACATGTTCTTCAGCTTGAACGCCTACAGGCTTTTGGGGAACAAATTCTTCCATTTCAAATCGTTGGCTGAAGGCCCGACTTGGTGGCACGGTGATAAAATGTGGGGGTGAAGAAAGGGCATCGATCTGAACTGGCGTGTACGGCTGTACGCTCACACTTGTGGCAAGAAATGCATGGTTGAAAATAATGCATTTTAGTTGGCCTCATTGGCAGGCCCATGCAATTAGTCAATCATGAGTGCATATACTTGTACATGTACGTGACGTACGCCTATACAATTCTAAGGAGTGGTAAAATCCAACAACATGTTAGCCAAATAATACATATGAAAATTTAATGTAGATATTATGCAGAATCAGAAACCAAGGAAAAAGTATG